TCATTTGAAGCATCCGTAAATGCTAGTTCGATAAGACAATTACTTTTGAACATATACTGTATGTCTTCTTCAATATTCTGTAACTTTAGTAACCTCGTTCTGCACCGGTCAACTGTATTAATTTGTTTCTCGTGAAAATCTCGAAAGCAAACTTTCGCATCGGCGGATTTATCACGTTTTCTATATGCGTGCATTGTTCACGACAGCTTTAGTTATAGGCCACTTTTTAATCTTATAGTTCGAAAATTTGTAATAATCACTCCTGATACTAACAAAGCATACACATTCTCTTTTGTTGAGAAAAAAAAAGGCAGCTGAATAATTTTAGCAACCAAATGTGATGTTGGTCAAATATTCTTGTATTTGGGCCAAATCTGTCTTTATATCTCGTTCGCAACCGAAGGAAAATGGCTTAAAAAAGGAGAACGTTTACTAACTCATAAACATTGGGGAAATCGGACCAACGATCCAATTTCCCCTAAGACAATCCAAAAACGAGCAGAATCATTGCCGACACTCTCTTTTGCACAGTCACATTGCTTGAGAATTTTGATAATTGCACATGTTTTCAATCAAAAATAATAAATGTTCTCAGTGAGTGCAGCTGGTCAGTGCCTTTTATGGGTAAAAATTTCCTTCTTTGGAGTTTTCCAACATCGACACATTAAAACAGTGTGTGGCCCTAATCAAGAATTGTCTTAATTTTTGCTGATAGTTGCTAAAAATATTCATTGGACTTTTTCCTCCATAAATGGAAAAATGAAGATGCTTTATCAGGACAATTTTGGTATGATTATTGCAAAATATTTGAGATTGAGAGAAGCTAATAACTAAAAAAACCGATGTGTACAAATGCACGCAAAATAAGAGTTTTATCAACAAAAAAAAACTCTGCTGATATAAATTCGAATTATCATCAAAAATCTTTGAGAATTTCACGAAGATTCTAAAGGTAGGAAGTATAGAAACTTTCACGATACACAGAGTCCATTGCTTTTCAAGAAAGGCGAGATGTTCAGTTCTTGAACATATAAAAGTATTGCGCCAAACGTCCTCTGTCGGGGACGATCACTCTAGCAAGGGACACTACAACTTGTAGGCGAATAATTATTAGATGAACTTTGGGCAGCCATAATGCCAAATATCATATGGTCACCGTATAATAATAGGAAAATGTTATTGCAGGAAAGTTAGATTGTTGCGAACTATCCATATTTATGCTTTTGGACATCTCAAGTGTCTACTGTATTGCCCCTTTGTGTATGTGATTATGTTGTTTGACATCTAAAAGTCTTATCAATCTCCAGTTCACCATTAAAATTCAATTAGATGTAAGCTCATAAAAAGGAACCATTAGCAAAACGGACTAATGATATAATTCGCAGCATCAAAAATCTCTAAGGTTTTGAGTCAATTGGCAGAGCACAAAAAAAAAGAACCATCAACCAGGTAATGAGATGACTCGCAGCATAAAAAATCTCTAGGCTTTTAGGCCAACTGGGAGAGAATGATGCGAAGGCAACTTGGAAAATTCGGTTTTCTCAAATTATTCACTTCCACATTCCACAAGTCTGCAGTCGAATCCCTTTGACATTTGGAGCTAACAATAAGATCCTTCTCGTAGATTAACTACCGAATTTAAAATTAATAAAAAGAGAATCATTTTATTTATCTGACCATGCTTGATTATTTGAAACTCACAAGCTGCAGTTTTGTTCTTTGAAATGATTGCTGAATGGCTTTTGAATGGTTTAATCGCTCACGTATGAAAGCCTTGCAAAACACTTTTTCTTTCTCTTTTTTTTCATGAAATTCGAACGATTTGCACATACGATTAATAGCCACCACTGCCTAAAGCCTTGCAGGAACACATATATAAGATGTCTAGGTAGAAGGTAAGGCATCGACTTCAAAATGATCGCTTTTGGCTTCTTTCTGCTGCAAGTGAGTTAAGATTTTCCATAGAGCCTTAATCTGGCATGCGACATTAGAGAAGAGGTTACAATCATGTAGCTGATGCTAATTTCGTCATTTAGCATATTTCTTATGCTGTTCACAATAATGATTGGCTCATCCTACACTTAGTGACCCATTATTTACCAAACTCGACAATATGATTCCAAAAAAAGTATCAGGCAACCTAGAAATTATCTTCAATACTAGTGGTAGTGAAACTTTTGTCATCAAAGCCAACAAGTTTTCTCACAAACATCGCGTGCCTCTCATTAATTTTGTATTTGACTTCAATATCACCTGGAAAAGTTAATACAATTGTTACATACCTCATATATGGAAGCAGAAGCCGAGTGGTTAGCGCTCTTCGTTCCCCACTTTAATGAGGTCGCGGGTTCGCTTCCTCATTGGGACATATCCGTCGATTCCAGCGTTTTTTTCTCAGAAGCGCGTGACAAGCTGTGAACAACACCCTGTCGTATCTGAATGAGTTCAATGTCTAATAAAGAACATCGAGTAGAAGTAAGGCCTCCCCCGTAAGCGATGCGCACTCGAGCACGACGGGCGCGAATAGTGGGCTAGGCCACCGTCTTACAAAGAGCGGAGACTGGTAAGAAAGCTAGCTCTTCGAAGGCAACTATCCAAAAATTCAGAAGCACTCCGATTAGTTACCATCAATATCGAAACCCTCACTGGATGACATCGAGAGTTGGAGGATGACATCGAGAGTTGGTGGATCTCCTGAGAAGACGGCGAGTGGATATAGCCTGCATACAGGAAACAAAATGGGAGGGTGGAAAGTCACGCGATTTCGGAGATGTGTATAAGCTTCTCTACAATGACACAAGAAGCAGTCGCAATGGAGTAGGTATAGCTGTCTTAGAAAGCCTATGAAGCAGGATTGCAGCAGTTGACCGAGTTATGAATAAAAAGATTAACACTAGGAGAAAAATCCTTCGATCTGTCACTGCCTATGCTCCGCAATCCAGGTGCAAGTGGAGGAACCTGTTCTGGCAAGTTTGACGACTACATCAGATCCTACCACAGAATAAGTAATCCTGCTTGGAGCAGACCTCGGTCTTGTGAGGGAGGAAAGAAATAGTGTAGGAAGGTGTCACGGGAACCACGGACACGGTGCATGGAATGAAAGAGCCGAGCGCAATCCAGCCTACAACCTTGCATTAGTCAAGACGCACTACACCAAAAAACTAGCACACCTGGCTGCGTATACAAGTGGAGACCGCTACAGGGCAGTGCGCATACCTCAGCATAAGCCACTACTTCTAGACCTAAAAATTCCGGTTGAACGACAAGGAAATCCCATGGCTAACACAAAGCACGAATAAAGTGGTGGAAATTGAAAGATCTCACTGGCCAAAGATGCTTTAGTAAGGTCCTACCGGCCTTATCTGAAAAGCCAGAGCAGTCATAGTCAACATTCAAAGTGTGACGTTGCGTAACAAGGAATCTACTGAGCCGTACGGTCAGGAAAAAAGAGAAATTGGTGAGGAAACTCATTGGTAGAACGGTGAGATCAATCAGCGATAAAGGAAAAGAGTCAAGCATACAAGCAATGACATAATTCGAAATCGGGAAGCCATTGACAGTTGTACCTTCTAATGAAACGCGCTGCAAAGACTTGTGACAAGAAAGCGAAGAAAGCATACGTAAAAGGGTTTATAGGATTTTGGAATCCCATGAGGGAGAGCGAGATTAATACTGAATAGCGCGAAGGAGAGCAGAGTCCGCAATAGATATGGAACGCTTTTACTATGTTAAAGGGAAGCTGAAAAACGTTGAGATTCCAGGAAATAACTGTGAGATAGCAAACGTACTTCAAAGAAATGTCGTCCACTACCAGCGCTGACACAGCCATCCCACTAGCTGACCGTGTGTAAGGACCAGTGCCACTCATAACAGAAGAAGAAGTATGGCTTGCTATAACAAAGACAAAGAACGGCAAGGCTACCGGTCTAGATGACATACCAAGGAAATTTTGGAAAGAATACGGATGGCTC